TTTGCCAGAAAATCTAAACTTCTTAATGTCCACGCCTTTAGCTATGCAAATGACTAGACTTCTTCTATCGGTCCTTAGCATTTGGGATATCAGAATACTGGGTTATCGGCTAAGCTATTTCGAGCTGTCAATGCTGATTAGTCCTTAGTGATTACCGAAGTGACACCACGCACGTCATAAACACAAATTTCGTTTCACAAAGCGATTATGCCAAATAGAAGGTTAATCCGCAAAAATAGACCGCTGTCATTTTTGGGGCAAAATTGTCTTGCTTGAAAAAGGAATGCTTTTGATGCACCTATGACAAGTCCAAAGTCCGCATGTATTTTGCAGTTATTTCTACAAAGGACAACCGCTGCAGGGTGTGTCGCGCGCGGCGGTGGTCCTGTGTGGAAAGCATTACGGTCGTGCGAATCATCCTACACCCTGTGACTACTAATTGGCTTAAACCGAAGGGAAATGAGAATATGGCTCATTTCCTGGTAAACAAAACTTGGCCAACTTCCTGTGTTCTCATAGCATTAGGGTTAGGAACGCAAAGAAATGTTTTGAATGTCTAAAAGAGCGAACAAACCCTTAGAAACAGCGTCCACCCAGCTTTTTGTCTTCAACATTTTTATCGTTTGTAACCATTTTTCTCTTATGGCTCTGATTCTGAATATGGGGTGCAAATTACGTTGGAACTCCGTAAACTCCATTTCTGGAACTTTGGTTTGACGGGCGTGAACGAGTTTCTGGCGTGCTTCCCATCCATGCAACAACAAATATTGCCGTATGCAATAGGAATATAGTTGCAAGTGAGCGCCTCAGCTGTGCTTGCCACGTCAGAACGCTGCAGGAAGTCGTCCTTGGATGGGCGGAGCGCAAAAAAGGGGGGACCGCAAAAGGATTTTAAGGGTTCCCGGTTCACTTTTTCCTTTTTGGAAACAACATGAGAGGACTGGACCAACTCAGTTGGTCTTCTTCTAGGGCACACTCATATACAATATATAGTTGTCTGAGCATTGTGGATTTTGGATGTACGCTGCCTTCAAGAGCACGTGTATGAACGCTTACAAAGGCGAGCCAATTTCCCTTGGGATTCCACGTTTAAACTCAACCATTTTAACATGGTCCTTGAAAAGATCGAAGCAAGCGTCCATAAATTGCGTGAACATAGCATGTAGACATCAGTGATGCAACGACGTGGAGGTGGTCGAACAAACACTGGAGTTTTGATTCGAGACGTAAAAGTGATACTAGAAGCTATCCTTCCAATCAGTTAACTTTTGGAAAATCCGCGTGCATGGATTTCTGGCCTGAAAGCTGACGATGGAATCCTAACTAAGGCACTGCCCATGCGGCAGCGCAAATGATCCACTCACGGCTGAGAAATCCGTTCGCTAACGCTTCGCGCCTGCGCCGTTACCGTAACCCGAAAATGACTTCGCTCTCACATTAACATTCGCGCTGGGATCCACCCTAAGTTCTGTAGATACAGCCACGCGCAGCTCGGATTGTTTGGGGGTGGATATCTCAGCCGTGGATGCATCATTTGCGCTGCCGTTTGGGCAGTCTTGAAGGCAGCGTCCAGGTAAGTCTGGACAAATGAGGATCTCGCGTGAATAGCAATTTTGGGGCCCTAACTAAGCCACTGCCCAACCGGCAGCTCAGGTAATGCTCTAGCGGCTGAAATATTGCCCTCGAAACTGGACCCCTCAATCGTATTTCGCATGGATTCATGGCGCAAAGCGTGGGCCTCGCGCGCAACTGTCATGAATCCATGCGAATACGATCCTGGGGTCCAGTTTGGAGGCGTATAGCTCAGCGTTAATGAGTCACTTGCGCTGCCGATGGCAGTGCCTTAGCTAGGGCCCCAAAATTACTTTCCACGTAAAATACCTATAGGTTCAGATCTGCCTGGACGCTGCCCTTAACTAAGACCTCCATATCAGTTCCCAGGTAAAAAACCCACGCGCTCAAATTTGCCTGGACATTGCCTATGAGTGGAGCCGTTTAGAGCATTACTGTTCCTGTAGAAAATGTGTAAGTATCAAGAGAGCCTTGCAATACAGCTGCGAAGCCAAGATTGATGCAGATCTGTACCGTACAGATTATGCAGACTGACGTTTCGACAACTTTGCATTCTTCAGAGTCTAAAAAATCGAAAACACATTCAGTCTTATCCGAATAAACACTTTGTTGGTTACAGAGAGGAGCCCAACGCTCTTAGAAATACAAGCCATGACGAGATCGCAAGATTAGGGTAGTGCACCCTAACAGATGATGGGTGCAATAGGATGCAGACCATTTATAGCCATAAAATCAAAAATAAAAGTAGAAGTACTGCAGTACAGTTCTAGCATTAGTGGTCCGCATCCCGCTATGTCTATTAGCCTTAAAAGTGAGTGCTAGGTTAATTTGGAGGTTCGCTTATGGCTCTCGTTTTTATCAGAACGTTGAATCGACAAGGCGTTTGGTCTAGTTTTACTGGTGTATTTTCGACTTTTCTGACTCTGAAAGGGCGAAGTTACCGAAACGTAAGTCTGTTCAGTGTGTATGAGCTAAAATTTGTCCCAATTTTGGTTTCCGCTGAAGCAATCAGCCAGAAGATTTGAACTGTGCCAGGATTATTGATAGTCAAACCTGGATTCCCATGCAATACAGCAAGGCGACTTTATTTGAGACGCTAGTATATGACAAACATCAAAGAATTGAACAAGCACTCCATCAAGCTGCTCCTTACTGAGTGAGATGTTCAAAAGACTTGGAATAAAAGATGAGCGGATATGTCTTGGATTAGCTGTGTGAGACTAGATTTTTGTGTTAAAATATTCTTATGAGGACCTCCGCAAAAAGTTAATTTGGCCCTCCAAATTTGCGGACACACTGCAAACATTATTATGACAATTGCTTGTTTTCAATTGCTGACACGTTCTTGAAAACCACAGGTGGTGACCGGAAGACCGAGGCAGTAGCTCGGCAAATTTGCAACAGCGAGCTTCCCATCGGTCCTTGGCCTTCTGGAGCTGAGGTTTCGGATTGTGTTTATGAACACTCAAAAATGTCAAAATTGTTTTTGTGGCGTCTTCTGGATTAGTAGAACTAAGAAGGGGTTACACGGACATCCGCAATAAAACTAGCGATTGGCTGCGGAAGACTGTAGGGATAGAGTCACTCAAATTTCATCGACAATAGGCTGATTGCCTTAAGCAGCCAATAGTAACTCTGTTAGCGGGAATCTTTGGTCCAGTGACTTCAGCAATCAACCAGAAAGCATCATAAAAACCACTTTTTGACAACCCTAAGAATTCAAGCATTGTCTTGCGCTCAGCGCATCTAGAAGGGCGAAGGAAAATGGGAAGGTTGCAGTAGTGACATTGCCGAACCCACTGCCAGGCGTTCTGGATAACAAGCGACAACCTTGAAATGGATTTGGAAGAATGGATTGCTGTGACCAACTTGGCTGTATATCAAACTTTCGCGGGCATTAATCTACTAGGTGTAAATTGAGTGCATATAAAAGAGCCTAGGATGCTGGTGAGGTCATAATCATGTGTTGGAGTTACTCTCTCTGTTTATCTCCGAAGTGAATGAAGTTGCTTACTTGCATCTAACCTCTCTAGAACCATAGTAGTGTTTGCCACAATGTCGTTAATTAAATAAATGATAAGGCGATTAAGCATATATGCCGCATCTTTTCTGACCTTCGCTCCAATGAAGCAGAAGATGCCGTAACATCAGCCGAATAGAGAGTTTGACCAATCTTGGCCCACGGCTCAAGAATCAAGCTCGAAGTATTATCTATCGTCTTATGAATATTGGCTGCTGCTGTAACATTCTCCTCACTGCGTTAAACCCACAAATTAGACCACGAAAATTTTATAGAAGCATCACTTCAGAGTTGAAACTTTGAGAGAGGCTCATCTTTATACTACTACTAATGACAATAATAAACTGACACTTCCGCAAAACATTGTATAAATTGTCTCAAAAAGTACGATTAAAAGGTTTTGAAATGACGCAGTAATGTGAAAAGTTTAGATGAGACATTAGAAATCTGACGATCAAGAACGATGGCGCTGACTTGATTTAAAAGTGCAAACTTGAAGCGTTTTGCATTCCTGCCCATAAGCTAGAGCTGACTGAGCCAAGCGTTGCGAACTGAAAAGGTTTGAAGGAGCAGCGGTCGTCTTCTCAACATCTACCCTAATTTCACGAGTACAAGACGAGGATTTTTTCTAAGATCGAACAGCACAGAAATGGCGAAGGACCTCGTGACCAAAAAACTACATATATACAGTGCTTCATATTGCCTGAGAGTATTATGCGGCATAAGTCTCGTTTTCCGACATAAAGCCAGGCGGCAAGCGGCTCGCTTGAAAAATCGAAAAAGGTGCGTCCTGTGCTCGTGAAATTAGAGCATCTGCAAATTTTGCAGGTACTCTAAGATCTTATCTCCAGAGAAAAAATTCGCAAAGAAGTGAGAAATCCCAATTTTCTCATAGTGCGCAAATATAAGGAAGTTTGGGTTTTTTGATGAAAGATATTCAAAGTGACAAATCATTTCTATTGTTATTCACCAAATAGGGAAAACTCCTCTGTATCCAAATACCTAACTGCTGTTCTATACAACCATTACAGCATGAAGACGAAGCTGAGGAAGTCAAAGGATTGAGGTCTTGGAAAATTAGCCATGTTAAGGCATAATTGTCCTTATTGATGGTAGAAAATCTCAAATATTTGTTATGTTATAGAGGAAGCTCTGACCTACTTTCCCACAGAAAATATGACCAGAAGACAACAAGAAATTTTTTCATGGAGATTTGCATGCCAAAGCGAATTTATTCTTTAGCCATCCTAATATTATGCCAATCGTTGGAGTCAATCAGTTATTTCTAGCCATTACCCTGATTCACTTTGTCTTGAAGACCGTGGATTGCTTACGTTTTTTGTGCTTGTTGTATGCTAACACACGTTGTTTTAGAGATAGAAAGCCCATCAAAAAAAATTTTGCAACCATGACTCCACTTTTAATACTTTTCTCCACTTTTTCAACTGTAGCTACTTTCGCTATTGACGGCATGGAACTCAAACTTGTACAAGTGGTAAGACTTACGTTGATTATTACGTTATAATACGAATTCGGATTATGTTCCTCCAAAAGAAATGCACAGGTATGGCGACACGGAGATAGGTCACCTACGCTGACTTACAAAACAGATCCGATCCAAGAAGATGATTGGACTTTCGGAGGAGGAGGATGGGGACAACTTTCACCGGTCATTCAACATGTTTTTCACAATTTAGTGGTTACATTGTAACTCTCATGTTTTAGATAGGAATGAAGCAACATTTTGAGTTCGGAAAACAACTGCGAAAGCACTATGTGGATAGTGGGTTCCTTAGCAAAACATATGATTCAAAAGAGGTAAGCAAAATATCAGATGTGCATTAAGTAAACTCGCAATGCTAGCCTGTGCACTTTTATGTTTTTTACTTGCAATTCTCTATCTATCTTCTGTTTGCGCAAGTTCCTAGAAAAAAAGCTCAGGGGTCACCTTTCAACAGAAGCTGACCAGTTCGTTTCCCTTAGAGGCATTGTCCAGGTCAATTGGGGGGGGGTGGGGGGGGGGGGGATTTGACACCGTGCAGGAGCGCGGCTCCTGACTAATGCAACAGTTTATGCGCGATCAAAAAAGGTGGATTATTCACCCCAAGCCATTTTTCGGCAGCTGAGCATATACGCTCTGGCCACTGTTTGATCTAATGCCCGAGATGTTAACCTTTCATGAAGTATTGCAAAAGATGTAACAGAAGTTTGCTCAATTCACTCAAAAAGTTTCGCCGTAAGTTATCAGAACCAGAAAGCAAAAAAAGCGAAATTTCCAGAAAGCGTAAGACCCACCGGTGGGTCGTTTGATCCAAATGGCAGGACGTGCGCGACCCAACGGGTAGTGGTCGTGAACGTGTTAAATATCAATAACATATGTTATAGAAACTTTTAAGAAACCCGGAAGATACAGATGCCAATGTTGCAGATCTATGTTCGCTCGTCGGACTATAATAGAACTATAATTTCCGCCATGGCAAACTTGGTGGGGATGTACAGCTACAATAACAGCGCAAGCATCAAGGATACAGACTATCCCGATGTGGAAGGATGGCCCCAAGGATTTATTCCAATCGCCGTGCATACCGTTGATCGCAAGAGCGACCATGTAACTTCCTCCAAATAATGTTTTTCCGACAGATTTCAAAACCTTAAGATGATTTTTGTGCAGGTGTTGATTGCTCATGCTGATTGCAATCGCATGTACTGGCTGGCTGAAATGCTGAAAAATGAATGTGACGAAGTCAAGAATTTCATAAGCAGACCGGATGTAAGTTTTTATGCATAGACACTGATTAACAAGTCACATTTTGAAGCTTCATATATCCAGATCAAATTTGTTGTCCCTTTAGAACTCTAACAAGTAAAGCTTGTTTAGTCGAAGCAGCCTTTCTAAATAAGGTGTAAACCATGTTAAAAGGCATAACACAGGAATTCAAATCTGTCTTCTTATTCGCAGAACTCTTATGGACGAGGAGTTATGAGCGTTTTTGGGGGCCAAAAATTGAATGTGTATTTTGGATAAATTGAGTTGCTGAAATCTTATTAGCCCTCAAAAAATGTAGCCCAGTGTGATATATTTTTTATTTTAGAGTATTTTTTGCAAGTGCTCTGATGATTATCACTGCTCCATTAAAGAGCTATAGAAAGTATTACGGCTCTTTTTGTCCTACTTGCACATTCAATGCTTCAACAAGCGCTCATAATTCCTCGTCCATAAATGTTCTGCAGATGAGAAAGGCAAATTTGGACATTTTATGCACTTCACTGTGGTATACATCCTATCTAAAGGCCACTTCGACTAAGTAGTGTTCCTTTAAGACAGCTTTTGTAGCCCATGTGAAGAAATTCTTTGAAAGGAATTGGCTTTAGGTTTCTACTGTGCTTGCAATGAAACAGGAAGATGCCTTAGTTCAATCGGAGTTACCCTCAAGACGAAAGCGAGTGATTTTTTATCGGGTGCAGTTGTCGATCGCGCGATCTTGCTAAATACTATTCACCCACCTTTGCAAAAAACCTGTGTGGCGTTCTCGTACGTTGTCTCAAACCTACAGCTGCCTTTTGATGCATAGCTTGCACAAATTTTGAAATTGATGCAGATAACAGTCATAATCAAGGTTGAGCGAGCGTCAGGATTGATCGGGTCGTGTTGGATAGTGGAGAGGACGGTCCTACTAAATAAAAAAATTTCCTAAAAGGCAGTACTATGCTTGAACGAGGTGAAGGACAAAAGCGCTAGAAGGCTCAATGTCATACGAGATTGAATAAGCTGTGAACACCATACCTAATAAAAAACGCCCCATTCTTGCTGTGAAAACTAAATTTGCTTCCAAATGTGTTTTTCCTGAGGAAGTTATGGCTGTGGAAAATCAAACCTAAGAGAAGATTTACCGTCAATTACGATGTCTTCAATTGCCCTAGGTATTTTCCCATCTATGCGGTTGTGTACTAGACTTCATTCCTGAAACTTTGGTGCACACGTACGTGAAGAATATCAGGAGCTGACCTTGTAACATCGCCGGGTTGGCTTCGGTATTCTACCGACAACTAAAATCACGTGCAAGGCATACTAGGCAAAAATTTGCATTTTCCTAAGCCTGTAAACCTGTTTCCATTGCGTGATATGCGAATAGAAAAACTTAGAAAGAGTTTGCAAGGCGTTGTTATGAACATGTGTAGAGACTGCAACGGATTTCCATTACATATTGGGGAATCCCGAAAGTGTTCAAAGAAGCTCTCTGCTCGATGAATGAGTCTTCTCATGGTTATTTACAGATTATGACGAATACGATCTCGCGACCCATTTACGCGTAACAGCAATCGAAAATTTTCTCACATCTCTATTGGAAATCTTTTTCCATGCCTAATAAGCGGATGCTCAAAATGATAACTGTACTTATCGCTCAGACGACAAAGTCTGTTTCATTTCGTGGGCCGCGGTTAAGGCTTGAGAAAAGCAGCTCCAATGTTGCGCTTGAAGAACATGAAAAGGCTAAAACTGTGGGAGGACCTAATTTTGCGATCAAATGCTTGGAACTACTATGAGCTTTTTTTCAATTTACATAGAACCACCTAAATCGTGGACAACGTGATGTGCAAAGTGAGAGCGGAACGTAAAATCGGTAGACATAGGCAGTTTTGAGCTAGATTTTTCTACTCTTAGGTCCAGTAGCGGAGACTGTATAAATTAATATGAGGATTGGAGTCGAAGTGCTAAAGAATCGCTGATATTCGGATATGATAGAGTTAATGCACTACTCAAATCAATAAGTTATGTGAAGGTGAATTCACTAATGCTCAAGCTGCTGGTTCAAACAAAATTTGCACCTACTTTTCACCACTCTGCGAGTAAGTTCTGTTGCTTTGCACACTGAATGTAAACGGAAATTTGGTATGAGATCCAAATCATCTCTTTGTTTTCTGCGAACTGCATAGTTCAAGCTATTCACGTGAGCGAAGCTGTTTGACAGCTTTTCTTTTACTTATCTGAATCAAAAATAGCTCTTCCACGTCCGCTGCACGGTTGCGAGGTTTATGAACATTAGTTTTGCCAAGACGCCCTGACTGACAATTGGGGATTTAGAATTCAGCGCAAAGATTTCTAGGTACAAGAGGTATTCAAAAAGGCATCTGAGAAAGCTGGAGGAGTTTACAATGAGAGGACATTATGGGAGATACATGATGCGTGGAAAATCGAGGTAATCCCTTTTTACTGTATGAGTTTTTTTTACAAGTTTCATGCGTAGATCTTAAAAATCCGCCAATAGTTTAGCGCGTGCATTTCCCAGAACGACTGAAAGAGTGTGACTGGTATTCTGAGGAGCTGTACGACAAAATGGGGGAAATTAATAATAAATTGATTAACTTTGACAATGGAGTCTATGGTGAGTCTGGAAATTCTGTTGATGTAATCATTATGAATGGAAACGTTGTAGACTATGTTTGAAGCTTTAGTTTCTTTTAAACAGAAAAGCGTCTGCAATGCGTTTTGTTCGAGTCTTTTTTTTTCACAAAGTTCTAACAGATACCATCATTGCTTGGCAAGCAGACTTTCCAAAGCAACAAGCAGCAAGCACCCATTTTTATGAGTTCAGATTTTGGATCTGACTTCTATGACATAGCTGCTCCGGACTGGTAAAAGGGCTCTGAATTTTTTTTAAATCTTGGATATGCTATCCCAAGTTTTAGCAGAAAGAATCATGCTGCAGAGCAGAAAGAAGCATGCTGATCACCCCCCACGGGGGTGATCAGCATGCTCGATTACCCCCCTGTGCCAACTCCCAGCCCCGTAACTCAAATTTTGCAAAAAATCGATAAAATCGATATCGATCGATAACGAAAAGTAGCCTATGACACCCGCCGGGGCCCGAAGTGTATGTGTGCTAAGTTTGGTCCCGATCGGTTCAGAAATGGAATTTTCTATTCGGAACATACGTACACACATACAGACAGACAGACAGACAAACAGACATTCAGCTTTATATAAAAGATTATGGAGTGTTACTTTCTTGCAGGGCCTGGCACCAGCTGGCACGGGGCAAGCTGGATATCGTTTTTGGAGCAAAAAGCAAAGGGGGTTTCGTTTTTGTCGTTTTTGTGGGCGAAGAGATACGCAAAATTGGCGACGGCGACCTTTTTTTTAGTCGACGTTTCGTTTTTGGGGGGTTTTTTAGGATTTTAGAGGGGATATCGCTGAGAATCAAAGGGGACTTTGTAAAAATTCCCAAAAGTCAAGGGGGACTTCGTGAAAATTTCCTGGTGCCAGCTCGTGCCGAGCCCTGCTTTCTTGCCCCACCACTCCTCAGCGATTATTGTCATATCGTCAACTCAATGCAAGCCATTCTTTCACAACAGCAATGAAAAACTTTGCGACGCCATTCAGATAGTCTTTTACAATGTTTAACAATTTGTTCCTTCTCCGTGTGCACATAACGCACATAATACTCTCCCATTTCTAATCAGAAGCCGCTTCACCATTGAAAACGCACCCGATCGGGATATGAGTTGTTCTAATGGAAAGACAGCACCCGATCTGTGCGTACCATTTGATTCAACTGGCTTGGCTTCGGAAATGAGGGGGCTCCGTGACCTAATTAAAGGCACCGTCCACCCAAAATGGAGGTTGGCGAGATTATGATGGCGTACTAGTGTGGGCCCCCACACCAGGCAAATCCCCAAGCTTCGCCGCAAAAGACTGCTTCTGGAGCGAGAAATCCGCTCCGGAATTAGCAAAGTAGGCGGGGCGACCATGGTCGCCCCGCCTACTTGCATGCTATCTCGCCTTGTCGCAGAGGGTCTCGAAACAGGGATTTTTGAGGGATTCGCGGATTTTCAAACACATATTCGAAATCAGCGCTTTCAGAAGGCCTGAAGGCGACAAAACATTGAATTCGAGATTTTGGGTAGACGGTGCCTTTAAGGCTAGCTAGTGATCAGGGAGCACCTACGCGAGAAAGACGCAGGTGCGCCGCGGGCGCAAGCGGCCTTAATTACGTCACAAAGCCCCGCCCTCCCGAAGCCAAGCGTGTTGTTTGATAAGCTAAAAGCTATGCTGCCATAATGGGGTTATACTACTTCGATTGAAAGGAAGTTGTTTCAACCAATCTGTAAAAAGCGCTTTTTTCGCGAGAAAATACGTGTTATCAGGTCTGTGTTTTGGTATTCTACCCTGTATACATGAAATTCCCTAAAACATTTTCTCCCAGAAAACTAATGTTGTCAGTCCGTATTCTAACACTGTTTACTTGGAATTCGACACATAGAGAAATGGACTAATCTTTGTGTGATTGGAGCAACTAAAAGATAGCAGAACTATTTTTGTTATTAGGTGGGCAAAACATGTGTACTGACTTGGACTCGAAATTAGAACTTGTGTAGTGATTTATAAGATGCGATGGCTAAGTTTTCAAACTATAAGGATTTACGAAAGTAGTTTTTGAAATTATGAGCTATGATCTATTTAATTCATCGTTTCTGACTGAGCCTCTAGGATAACTTATACTATGAACAAACACGACACACTACGAATACATAAAGTCATATAACTCACAAATATAAAGAATCTTATTGAAATTCGCACGTTCTATAAAAGTAAAACTTGGATACTGCCTCAGTGATATTAAAGGATTTGATTTCAGAACATGGTCCAGTGATAATAAACGGTCTGGATATGGGAGTGGAAATCCAGAAAATACGTGGAGGCTCGCTGGCGAATGATATCAACATGCATATGTACCTGAAGTACGATTGCATGAATAGACAACATGAGCCCAAGTGTCGTTGGATAAAAAACCTCAAGTATTATGTCTATTCAGCTGTAAGCAAATTCACAAAGGGTTTGACATGTAGTTTACCTCAATTATTTCAGCATGATACTACCGTTTTTGCGTTTCTCTCTGCTATGGGAATTCAGTCAAAAGTCGTTTTTAGAGGAGGATATCCAGATTATACGTCAGCTGTATTCGTTGAATTATATACTGACATCAATAATAACCCCTATTTCAAGGTGCTGCTGAATTTTCATAGCTCAGTTCTCCTGCGAAGCTATGACCATTGCAGATGTTGTACCGTGAAAGTGATGTGAATGACACAATTCATTCCGTAACGCACTTCATACCCGAATGTGAGGGTAAAGATTACTGCAGACTAGATGTCTTCAATAAGTACGCCAAAAGGGCAAAACCGGATCGAGACATGGTCGAGGCAAGTATTTCAAGATTTTCCATGTATCTTAGAACTTTAAAGCAAATGCGTATGCACAGAAATTTTAACACATGCGATCGCACTTTCTTCGGCTTTGCGACACAATTAACGCTTGATGCTTTGTTGTACAAAATTCAACGCAACATGAGAATTTTTAAACATTAAAATTCAAATTTGAGAGGCATTAATTCTGACTTTCTCTTCCGCGCAGAATGCTTGGATCTTGCCGCCGAATGAAATCGGACGAGCATGGTTCAGCTTGCGTGAAGGCGTCTCGCGAGTACCTGTTACCTTTGTAACCCTGTGCCTTAAAACAAGGATTAAACTGGACTTAGCGTAGGCGGCGTATGCTGGAAAAGCGCGTACAGGGGATTCCAATTCTGTGTCTCGGTCGGCGCGGTCCCTGAGACTCGACGCTTTCGCAAACGTGTCCTGGGAAATTCTCACAAACTCGTCAGATATTGATGCATAAGTATGCGGTATTTCTCTCACCTCAAACCCGGTCACGCCGGTTGCGAACGCGGCAAGAGGCCCAAGCGAGGCGTTAATACTAACAAGGGAAGGATACTTGGTCGAAGTGGGGTTTCCATATGAAATGTATACCATCTTATAGAGCATGGAACGCTGATTCCAAATCTGCTTTCCTTATCTGCAAAGCGCTTCTGAGAGGGGAGTTCTGGGAATTTTTGCTAGTAAAAATTCAATGGTTTGGCTAGGGTAAAAACAGGTGCTGAGATCTTTCCGGCGCTTGAAAGGAGTAATAACTTAGAAGAGCTTATCAGATTGAAAGTAGTATTGCATAAAACGCCTTGGTAGTGATCATAGCCCCATTCGAGCTCAAGGACTGCAGTTTGAATGATCTTACGGTAGCCGCGCGTTCGAAAATATTTGCTCTAATAAATTCCCATAACTTCCCTTCCAGAACCGCTTTGCAGATATGGAAAGTAGATTTGGAATCAGCGTCCTAAGCTCTATAAGGCAGTATACATTTCATAATGAAACGCCACTTCGACCAAGTATCCTTCCCTTGTAAGAATGTATCAGAAATGAGTGGTCATTTTTGACGGAGATGTCACCACGTTGCTTACTGTGCTTATTCTTATTGTTATGTTTTCTTTGTGAGAAGTACGGTGAGCGTCTCTATACTAACATCATTTCTTATAGACTCCACAAAATCTGCATTACTAATGAAACAGAATTCTTTGCAAAGCTTCGCTTTATAAGTTATGAATTATGTTAAGTATTTTGTCAATCGAAATTCTTTGTTTACATGATATGGAAGTTTTTGCGCGACTTCGTCTTTATCTATACCGCAAACTAGTGTCTGAGGATGAATACGTCATCAAAGAGGCGCTTAACAAAGCGAGTAACAAAACGAGAGCGTACCACATAGTTGTCACTTGAAGGCAGGCTGGATTTTGTTATTGGGACAGAATACAAAGGAGTAACAGTATCGTGACGCATGCTGCGCAGACGTATAAGTTTTGGGTACCGCATGGGACGCGTTCAAGAACAAGAGTCCCCATGATTTTATCCTCGAAATCATCAAAATCGAATTGGCCAATTCCAGCAAGTCGCTTGGAACTGGATGCAGCAAAGAACGCTGATTCCAAATTTGTCAGGTTGTCCCATAAGTTCCGTCCGTTTTAATTTTCAATTGCAATAAATCACGAAATTCTTGTTTCTGGATATGTTCAAGGTACCATTCGATAGACCAAAGCAAGCTCTATAAGATGTCTTTTTCAATTTTGCACCAGGTTCGATCCATCTCGAGTTTCAAGGCGAAAACTAAAAAGATCAAACTGCCCAAAAAATCGAGAAAAAATCATAACCTTGTTCAAATAACTCCTAAAAATGTTTTGCTAAAGCGATGCTGTGCTGTTCCTACATTTGCATAGTACTAGCCTGTAGAAGTACAAATATAAATTTTCAGCTCTTGTAAGGTCGGTGAGTCAGTGTGTGTGTTGTGTGCACTGTGATCAATCGGCTGCCACGCGGGACTTACGCACAGCGAGTACACCTCAAACTTGGGTAATTAAACTTTTATTACTAAAAGCAACTAATGACTACAATGCGACTACGATAATAACAGACAAACAATACAATGTACATATATGTCAATCGGATGTGCTGTGAGTTGCTGTGAGGGTCCTGTGCGGGGGGCTGTGACTTACTGTGAGAGATTCATGAAAGGACGTTGATAAACTGTGAACTCCGTGAGGTAGTAAGGCAAGTGTGGGAAAGATACAATTGATAATACATGAGGTAACCAAAATAAGAAACAATAAAGCAACAGTCAATCGATGAGATGTAGAACATAAAAACATAACCAATGCTAGCTAAACTGTGTTAGCCACTTATATATATATATATATATATATATATATATATATATATATGAGCGAATATAAACATAATGAAAGCAAGCATAGGAAAATCATTGATAAGCCATCAAAGTACTTTGTCTGTGAGAAAACGTACAGCCTTGATCGCCGTGAATCACGTCAAATTCCTTGAGCGCAAAGTACGATACGAACAGGAAGTTCGTATAGCTCTTTACATTCACCAGTTTTCGAGAAATTTGGATTTTAGCGTAAGGCATCCAAAGGAGTGTGCCATTGTGTTGCACTCTATAATCCATATATATTCTTGTTTTGCTAAACCGATGCTTTTGCTGTTCCTACATAGTTACTTGCATAGCACTAGCCTGTAGAAGTACAAATATGAATTTTCAGCTCTTTACAATCACCAGTTTTCGAGAAATTTGAATTTTAGCGTAAGGCACCCAACGGAGTGCTGCATTGTGTTGCACTCCATAATCCAAGCTGTATTCGATATTTCTCGAGATCCAAAGCTTGTAAGGAGCCGAAAATTCAAATTTGTGCTTCTACAGGCTAGTAGTATACAACTATCTATGTAGGAACATCACAGCAATACTTTGGCAAAATCATGAACATCTTCGTTTTCTTGATTTCTAGCCAAGGAAAAGCACGGCAACGGCGTACATAAATGTGTTATATGAATAGTGCTTACGCGAGCAAGTTAGAATTTTTGCAGGATTTTTTGAACGCAGTTATGATTTTTCTCGATTTTTCGGACAGTTGAATCTTTTAAGTTTTCGGTTAAAAACTCGATATGCATGAAAGCTGGTGCAAAAGCAAGATAGCCATCTTGTAGAGCTTGCTTTGCTCTATCGAGCAGTACCTTGCAACTTATATGAAAGCGAGAAGTGTAGACTTATTGCGGTCGAAATTCAAAGCGGACGGAACATATGGGACAATCTGATACTTTTCTAGCTTCCAAGCCCCTTTGTGAACGAAGTTATAAGCCATCATATTATAAGGAAATTTACAAATTCAAACGTGTCTGCAGTCTTGTAAGTCGGTCGATCGATTCAACGGTCGATTTAACATGGGTTTTCTATTTTTGACTACTATTTTGAGTAAAGAAAAGATAGTGTTCCCATTTTCTAATTCTTTCAGAAATTTCTAATTTATCTATTTATTTTTCATTTTGAAAGCAATGCCTTTCAAACCCTTAACACTCTCGAGGCGGATTCGCGTCGTCGAGCTTGAACATATTGAAGGTGGAGTCACATTAATGGTTTTTCGCCAACACCCAATTTCGCGAAATGAGATTTATATTTCGAGCCTGAGCAGTTCTGCTCTTCCACCGCTGGAAGTTGACGTTGACCGAACATCGCTGGCCAAGTCGACGGCTACTTAGTCATCAGTCGTGAGCTAGCTAGCCACAAAATGCAGTTTACTTCGATTTGATCAGCTTACGTATGCTCCTGACTATGCCCTCATAGCTGCCCTCACAGGTGGTCATACCTTTTGGAAGATTATTCTACATGAGCTGAAATAGGAAAAAAAATCTTCTCTGCTTTTCTCTGAGAACAGCCTGAAAGGGACTTGCATGTTTGAAAGGTGACATCAACTGTTTTTCTGTTGATTCGAGTAGCTTTCTTGATGTTGACACTTGATATTCATTTTCCAGAGGTGAGTTGATCATACATAATTTGTTGAAGATGACCTCCAACATTGACTGCATGGCAGGAAATGGAAATGTATAAGTTTTGAGAATTTTTTGACTAACGCAGAAAAAAGATTTTCCACTTTTCCGATATCAATAGTATCCTAGATGTAATAGGTCTAAAGAATGCTTGAAGCATAGGCTTCACTCTAACAATCTGCCTGAAAACTACAGAAATTGGAATAGGTAGCGGAATTGTTTCAAAGACTTTGCAGTTGAAAACTTTGAGAGACGAAGTGTATGCAGATCAGCGCATTTTAGCGCATTTTCTGATTATCGATATAATGGTGCTCACTTCAAATCTCCTCGCGACATATACGTGATAGATTGGTAAGAAAATTCTCGGACATTGCATTTGAATAGAGCTTTTGCTTCGATGAAACTATCATATGGAGCAGGCGGCATTCTATCAAATAGAGTAAAGCAAGCTTAAGAAAAACGTACTGAGCACGGGCGTAAAAGTAGATCTTATAAAAGTAGAGGCGAAAATCTGAAAACGTAAGATTTCTACCAAGCTCAGATCTCCACCTTCCTTGAGCGCTGTGGCACTTCCAGATGCACCAATATATTAGGTTGAACCGAAAGTTCTGTCGCACCATTTTAAAAAATTCATAACTTCTTTCTCTCACAACGATTTTGCACAGTTCAAATTTTATCAAAAAGCGTAAAGCATGCAGTTTCCAATAGTCCCCTGGAGACTTTCCAAGATGCTCAGGTTGCAAAGATAAAAATGAAAGAACGAGGTCATACGAAATTCGGAATTTTTAAGCAAGAATTCTAAAAATTCAGAAACAGTGCGATAAAATCCAGAAAAGCCATTATCCTGATTTTTATTACATTTGATTACTATCTGAGTCAAGTTTGTGCTGATCGAGGTTTTCTTTCAGAAATTATGAATTTTTGAAAAAAAAATGCCAAAAAATCCATTTCTTAGGAATTCATAGGAAATTAATTTTTCGGCATTATTTTTCAAAAAATCATAACTTTTGAAAGAAGGGCTCGATCAGCACAAACTTAACTCAGATAGTAATAAAATATAAGAAATCTTACGATAATGGCTGTTCTGGATTTTATCGCACTGTTTCTGAATTTCTAGAATTCTTGCTAAAAAATTCCGAATTTCGGATGATCTCGTTCATTCATTTTTATCTCTGCAACCTGAGCATCTTGGAAAGTACCCAGGGGACTTTTGGAAACAACATGCTTTACGCTTTTTGATAAAATTTGAACTGTGCAAAATCGTTGTGAGGGAAAGAAGTTATGAATTTTTTAAATTTGTGCGACAGAACTTTCGGTTCAACCTATAGAATGGACATAAACTAACATCCCTGGGAAATGTGCATGGAAACGGGACTAATTGGTATTGAAAATCATCCCCTAATAATGCAAAGTTCCTTCCACCTACTCAGCTATAAGCCACATACACGCGAGGGTACAACTGCAAATTTTCGCCTTCTTATTTCTACTACAACCTGAGAAGTAGTTTAATTCTGAAAATGTCCGAAAAATTCTTATCAGTTCAATAAGTAAGTTGCATTCGTATGTGACAACTTACTGTTATTCTCAAGTTGATTTGCTGTCCAATCTCATGTTTAAGTGGTGCGAAGTAGACCCGCGCGGCAACATGGGCAGAAGCACATCCATTACAGCACATATCTCTGAGGGCAGCGCGGAAAGCAGTGCGTCCAATATGGTATCTAATTTAACTTTGGGTAAGCTTCTATAACTAATCGATGACTGCAGGCAATCGAAGTTATTTCAGCCTTTACACTGGTTATGTACCTATGTTCTCATTCTTGATTCAAGAACATTTCCTGCGAAGAAAACGACGACGACAATGTATACGAAGCAGCTGAATAGCTAGGATAGTTGTAATAAATTTACGATTTGCTTGCCCTCATATGAGTCAAAGCGAAAAGGGATGAAAGTTCTAGACTAGCTCTTCCAAGTAACTTACATGCTTACATGCTGGTAAGTGAACATTGCTGAGCATTTGTAAAGCATAATTTTGAAGTCATATAATTAGCGCAAGAAGAAAACTCTTGCCTAGATATGTTAATTCAAACCATCATTGAGGTACAGCCTCAAATCGGTTTGACCTCCCCTTGAACACATTGTGTTCCGATTTGATTTCCATTACTGATTTCCAGGAACACCTGAAGTTTCTTCAGAGAAAATTTTTGTTGTCATTTTGTTATCAGTGCCATGATTCTTTATTTTTGTTTTTATGGTCCTCTTTTTGTGTTCTTATTCTTCTGTAATCTTCAAGTAAACACTGTTACTTTCACATCTCAATTTATTTTTACGAGATTCATTCGATGATTTTCCCCTATCTCAATTTATCTTTACGGTTTCGGTTAATATGCTCTCCCATATTTCCTTCGCTTAATTTTCGAATTTCATGTTCATGCTTTTGTTTCTTGCTCTCATTATATTGTAATGTTCAATGTCTTAGTAAAGTGTTCTGTACTGAGCAATAATAACGAAAATTTACTTCTACAATTACGACTTTTCTTAGGCATTGTAATGTAATGCCGTTCTACGTGTTTAAAATGTCGTATAGCATACCATAGCGTATACATAGATATGTACATATGGTCTATCTTTGTTTTTTGTGTCAAATCAATGTGTAGCAGGCGGCAGTCGCAGACTCAGTTCATAATGTTTACTACCCTTGTGACAATCAAATTCACAACAGCGTATGAGGACAAGACTAACTTGAACAAGATTGAGCGGAGCGATAAAACTTATTTGTTTCTTCGCAGTCACACTCTATAGAAGTAGGTTGATCTTCTTTCGCGCCAAAGTTCGTGATCATTTAAGTACTTTTATTTGCTATGCCAACTTTCTTACTCAAAAAAGGCATGAGTAGTGATCAAATTTAGATAAGACTGTTGTGAGTAGTTAGTAAGCCAATCGAGGTTAGTATTTATTAGTAAGTGGCGGCCTAACGTTTCGAGCTATTCGTCTTCTTCAGAGGCCTAAAGTGGTAAGAGATTTATGATTTTATGTCTACCCCACCAAAAACCTCCTCCATCCCCGGCTAGCCTCGACGTTGCCCCAGAATGCTACAAACAAAAACTCCATAACGTGAAAGACGAACCAACCTCCTCCACCGCCGGCGCGCAGATGTTGAAAGCGGCCGTTCTTCAGTGCCACTGATACCAATAATGGAATACACTGTATACCATATTCGAACTAATCAGTGGTCTTTCAACTCACATAACGTCACGAATGGCATAAAGTCATTTGTGATTGACATACACTCATTTCGGCTGTTCATGCTAGGATTTCTGGCGAAAATCCAGAACGCCTCAAGAGCCTTTCTAATGGCAGTATCGTATTCGTATGCCAGTATTACACATCTGATCTCGAAGTCCTCACCACCGTGGACTTCAACTTTATGTTTACCGAGAGGAGTGGTGAGGCTTCCTCGCCTTTTGCTGGCAAGATGTTCTTTTAATCTAACTCCCAACGGTCTCCCAGTCTCTCCGATATAAGTGGCGCTGCACTCGATACATTCGATCTGATAGATTACACCTGTCTTACCGCAGTCACCAACTTTACCGGATGGACAAACTACGCAGTCTTGGATTCTGCAGTAGTTGTCGTACAGCCTGTTACGTATTAATCGCTTCCTGATGTTATCACTTGGGACGTCAATCAAAATGACATCGTTTTCGAGGTTCGCGTGTTCAATGCATCGTCGCACTATAGCACTAGTCGCGTCAGAGACGAAAGGAAGGCAGAGAGGTATTTTCTGTCGGTGCTGGTTGCTGTTGATGGTAATAGATGGTCCACCACGTCCGTTTCGGAACGTGTAGCCATTTATTCGAGCAATATCCAGCGCCCATCTCAGCGACTCCTTCCGTTCTTCTTCTCCTGTGCATACATTCGTTGCTGTTTTGAGCATGTTACGAATAACAGCTCTTTTAACAGTAATCGGATGTGCGGAGCAAGCATTAACCAAGATGTTCTTGGAACTCTCTTTGCGATACCATTTTACATTCGCAGCGCCGTTAACCAGTTGAATTTGTACGTTGAGATAAGGAAGCCAACCATTTTTCGGTTGTTGCCGTGTAAACTTTATGTACTGTGACTGTTGGTTGAGTAATCGGAAACACTCATCCATTTCGGATTGTGTTGATGTTATAACGCAACAGTCGTCTATGTAACGGCAGTACATTAGAGGTAAACGCGACAGCACTGGTTCCTCTATTCTACTCATGAAGTAGATCGCAAGTACTGGAGCAAGTCTTTGTCCCATCGCAAGACCTCTCAGCTGAGTATAGTATGTCCCTGACCATTTGAAGATGTTACAAGAGAGGCACTCTTTGATCTGGATCATAACCGATCGTTTACTCAGGCCGAAAGTCTGGATCTTCTCACCAAAGTTACTCAACATTTCCGAAACAGCGTGTAGAGCGTCGTCGTTTTGAACGTTAGTGTACAATGACACTACGTCAAAAGATTCAGCTACACATTGCGTTTGCTGTTAGTGTTATTGGTGTTACGTAGGCGTTCCAGGAAATGATTCGTGTTGGCTAGATGAGACGGGACTTTGTCCAGTAGCTGATTGACAATCTTATTCAAGAACCAAGAAATTCGGTCGGTTGGTCCTCCCACACAACTTATGATCGGTCTAATTTCCAACTGTTCTGCTGTCAAAAAGCGCGCGTCATCAGCAGCAGATATTTTGTGAGTCTTAACAAGGCTGTAAAAGACTGGGCACTGTGGTGTTTCCAATTTCAATCTGCTAACGAAGCTCTCGGGAAGGCCAGCTGTTCTTCCTACATCCATCCAAACATGTTTTAGTCGCTTGTATTGTGCTTGAAATTCTCTCTCAGTCACCTGTCGATAGATGGTTGTGTCACTAAGGTGGAGCTCTGTGATTTTCCGGTCCAAGATCCGTGGAATAATCACAAACTCGCCCCCCTTATCACTTACTGAGATGCGTACAGCGCCACTAGAGACTAAATCACGTATTTCCTTGTAACCAAGCCATTGTGACTGAGTCAAGTTAGTCGGTTGTGGATTCTTCGCCTGATGACTGTAGGCATTCAGCACTCCAGCAGATAAAATCTTAAACTTGACATCAGCTTCAGCCGTAGGCTGAGGTTCTTTGTAAAACAAACTTGGAAAAGGAATGGGTGGAAGTAATCGTGCTGGTTGCGAATTTTGAGCATTCTGTAGAGATTTGTGATTGTCATCAAGTCTAGTCCTCGTTCTCAGTTGGTCTCGGAGCCTGTGTAAACCACCAACAACCTTACGAAAAACAGACCCATCTACTTTCTGAGCAATAGAAAATGAAGGACCTAGACTAAGAAATCCAAGCGCGTTATCAGAAATATGAGTATCGCCAATCACCGTGACTCTAGTCAATTCAGTGGAATTTCCATTATGAGTTGAAGAATCAACTAAGCGGTGGAATGAAGGTAAGCTGCTCTCAACGATACCTGAATTTTTGTGAGTGGCACTCCAAAGCTTGTCGTACTTGGCGCAAAGTCTGGATTTGGCTTCAGATCGAATAGAAGCACAAATCGATCTCGAGCCGTTCTCAATCCTCCTCCAAATCCGAGATGGCACGAGACGTCGGCACGCATCTTCTTTTCGAGTACATTTCAGCAAACACGAGTACAATGCATGTTGTTTTTCTTTGATGATGACTGCCAGAATCGAACGGTAAATTTTCTTTATCTTCAAGTCATCTTCTTCGAGACTGCATAGTGCTCCAAGTTTCTTGCTTGAAATGAACTTTGGCACTGTGTTGGACGCCTTGCACCATTAAAAAATAACTTCCAGTTGCGCACTGCCGGAGGCGTCCAAAAGAGTGCGATCAAAGAGTGCCTCTCTTGTAACATCTTCAAATGGTCAGGGACATACTATACTCAGCTGAGAGGTCTTGCGATGGGACAAAGACTTGCTCCAGTACTTGCGATCTACTTCATGAGTAGAATAGAGGAACCAGTGCTGTCGCTTTTACCTCTAATGTACTGCCGTTACATAGACGACTGTTGCGTTATAACATCAACACAATCCGAAATGGATGAGTGTTTCCGATTACTCAACCAACAGTCACAGTACATAAAGTTTACACGGCAACAACCGAAAAATGGTTGGCTTCCTTATCTCAACGTACAAATTCAACTGGTTAACGGCGCTGCGAATGTAAAATGGTATCGAAAAGAGAGTTCCAAGAACATCTTGGTTAATGCTTGCTCCGCACATCCGATTACTGTTAAAAGAGCTGTTATTCGTAACATGCTCAAAACAGCAACGAATGTATGCACAGGAGAAGAAGAACGGAAGGAGTCGCGGAGATGGGCGCTGGATATTGCTCGAATAAATGGCTACACGTTCCGAAACGGACGTGGTGGACCATCTATTACCATCAACAGCAACCAGCACCGACAGAAAATACCTCTCTGCCTTCCTTTCGTCTCTGACGCGACTAGTGCTATAGTGCGACGATGCATTGAACACGCGAACCTCGAAAACGATGTCATTTTGATTGACGTCTTAAGTGATAACATCAGGAATTAATACGTAACAGGCTGTACGACAACTACTGCAGAATCCAAGACTGCGTAGTTTGTCCATCCGGTAAAGTTGGTGACTGCGGTAAGACAGGTGTAATCTATCAGGGCCGGTAGTAATCCCCCCGACCTGGCGGCAGGTCTCGTCGGCAGGTTGCTGGCACCCTTCCGCGAGGTGGCCAGAAACTAAGAACCGAAATTTAGGCCGTCCCAGGCCTTTTTCCAAAAAAATTTCTCGATAAAGTTGCCGCCTTGACTCTGTAGGAAACTTCATAAAAATCTGCGGCTCCAGAACTCCTCCTTTAGTAAAATATCTGGAATTCCAGGAGGAGCTGCCGGCAACTTCGCGATGTCAGTTGCCGGCAACCTGCCGGCAGGTTGCCGGAATCCGCGAGATGGCAGCTGCCGGCAGGTCAGAGAGCACGGGAAATAGCGTGCTCTTTTGAGAGAGCGAGCTGCCGGCACCTCGACGTGCCCCTACCACGTCGAGGTGGTGGCACCTTTGCCGACGGCATCTGCGAGTTTGCGATTTGCGGCGATATCACACAACTTACGTCAGGCGAAAACATCAAAAATTCTACTTTTCATCAAAAAAACTATCATTTTTCTCATTATACGAGTTTTTCTTTTTTAAAACGACGATTTTCTTACAGTGAAAAAATCCAGTAATGCCTTAGAATCATAAAGAAACATCATCTTTTTTGGAAATCCCTTATAAATCTCGTTTGCACAGATTTCGCCGCTCTCTCGCTCATATCAATCAGCTGTTCTTTCAGGTCAAAGTCTCTCACGCAATGTATCGATCCCTCTTACAGGCAGCCATTTACCAGCGCGTTCCTCCTATTGCTGGTGCAAAGGGCAATGGCTGACCGAATGGTCGAATGGTTAACGTGGTGGCACTTCAAGTTAACACGCATAGGTTCGACCGCGCGCGAGGTAGCAATTTTGCGGCTGTCTGCGTCATCAAAACTTAATGTGCGAAATGAGTGCGTGCTAAGGTTACATAAGATTATTAAAACCTACAATCACTGCTGCCGGCGGAGTTGGCATCTTTCCGCGATGTGTGCCAACTTGCCGGCATCTTTGATGCCACCAGGTAGGGTAGATTACTACCGGCCCAGATCGAATGTATCGAGTGCAGCGCCACTTATATCGGAGAGACTGGGAGACCGTTGGGAGTTAGATTAAAAGAACATCTTGCCAGCAAAAGGCGAGGAAGCCTCACCACTCCTCTCGGTAAACATAAAGTTGAAGTCCACGGTGGTGAGGACTTCGAGATCAGATGTGTAATACTGGCATACGAATACGATACTGCCATTAGAAAGGCTCTTGAGGCGTTCTGGATTTTCGCCAGAAATCCTAGCATGAACAGCCGAAATGAGTGTATGTCAATCACAAATGACTTTATGCCATTCGTGACGTTATGTGAGTTGAAAGACCACTGATTAGTTCGAATATGGTATACAGTGTATTCCATTATTGGTATCAGTGGCACTGAAGAACGGCCGCTTTCAACATCTGCGCGCCGGCGGTGGAGGAGGTTGGTTCGTCTTTCACGTTATGGAGTTTTTGTTTGTAGCATTCTGGGGCAACGTCGAGGCTAGCCGGGGATGGAGGAGGTTTTTGGTGGGGTAGACATAAAATCATAAATCTCTTACCACTTTAGGCCTCTGAAGAAGACGAATAGCTCGAAACGTTAGGCCGCCACTTACTAATAAATACTAACCTCGATTGGCATACTAACTACTCACAACATACTAACTAACAATGCCGAGGTTAAGAAGAGAGGAGACTTGGAAATTAGATAAGATTTTTATTGATTCGTAGCTTAGAAGTTTGTGTTTGAGTGATCTAAAGAATCGAAGTTACACGTTTGATCAATGGGGTTATGACAGTTTTCTTGCACGTGTTTAAGCCACATCATTATCGAAAAAGGTCATAACGATACAGAAGCTGAAGGACTTAACATTGTGAAGCAAGTTTTTTATTCCAGAAACAAGTAGAGCAGTAGTCAAGAAAGATGACGAATCGAAGGCACTAGGAACTGATGCATTGCGTCTAACCAAGATAAATCATTCTTGAAAATTTAGTGTCGAATGATGGTCTACTGTCTCAACGTGGCGAGGGGGTGCCCCTGGATGTGGCACAAAGGTCGGATTGACGAGTCAGTCCAGCTAACGCATACTATCCCAAGTCAGCATGTTAGGATTCGTTGCCGCTACCTGACAATGCGAAGCAGCCAGGAGGCGAAAATCGTCAGTGTCATCCAAGGAGCGGCGACTGCTTTGACACACCCCTAGAAACTCCTCAGACCGGCTATCTAGGGTATGGCGGACAACGCCTTCACATGTTTATCAGTCGCCCCAGTACCCTCACACCGTGTTGGTCTGACACTTGGAACGTCGGATGGCAGCACGACCGGTGAGTGCAAATTGATCTCAGCAAAAGCGAGACGTCCACACTGATCCTATCAACAACATAACAGATTCAACAGGGATTGTTTGTGACTGTGCACATACAATGCAAGAACCTTAGCTCCAGCCCACAAGCTCTTCGTTCTTCTAGAAACCTAAAATCGCATCAAATACGAAGTGATTGCATTGCAGAAAACAAGGAACAGAAATTTGACTACGCTCAAAAAGAAGGATGGAACTCTTATCATGGTGAGAGAAAAGCTTCCAACACTAAACATCGGGTTTTGTCATACACCAACTCTTAGCCACCTCGTCGACTCTTATAAAATCCTGTCGTCACGACTAGCACTCCTAAAACTTGTTGCACCACGTCGGAATATCGGCATTATCAACTGTCATTCGCTTACAGACGCAGCTGATGAATGCTAGCCATCCACAAGGAGAACTCGTTCTACAAGTTTATCTTGGCGGCTTCAATGCAAGGTTACGACAAACACAACACCAAGAAGGCAGAATTGGGAAATTCGGATTTAGAAGTTGGAGCGTGAACGAAGACAGACTCGTCGGACTCATCGAAGCGGTCCGTTTAATCACGAAGATCCGTTTTACCAAAAGAACATCGCCGTTGGACGGAGAATCACCAAAAAACGGCACATGCAGATGTCGATCATATACACGTTAACAAGAGATTGAGTTTGATCGATTTCAGAGTGGTTCCATCGTTCTGCACAGGTACGTACAGGTTACTTCGTGCACAAATCCGCGTCATTCGGAGAATGGAAAGAAAATCTTGTCATCGCACGAAGTCGAGAAGGATAGCCGTATACGACCTCAGACAAATTAAGGGAACTTCCCGAGAACAAGCTAATTTGCGGAACTTCCCGAGAGCTTGATTTAGTACTGGAGTAAATGAAGGTGAAAGAATGGAAGCTTCCCGAGAAAAATGACGTCGACAGGAATACAGTTAGGAACTTTCCGAGGAAATCCTCGGAAAATTCTGCAAAGTGCAGAACCTCCCGAGGATTTCAATTCGAGGGAACTTCCGCAGAGCTTTTGCAGGTTAACAAAACACTTCTGTTTTGCTTGTTTTGCAAGTAAGACTACCTGCATCATAATGATAAGCTCAAAGTTTGATAAGGTAAAGCTTAAGGTGCTTTATTTCTGCCTATCACCGTCTGAAGGATAGGTAACACTGTTATGATATTTACCTATCTATTTCGAGCTAGCGTAATCAAACCTATTTATTCCATGTTTAATTAGTATCTTTCAGGTGTCAGTATCTGTGTCAACAAACATCAAAAAGCTGTTGGAAATCTGCAAAAGGACTGAGGAGGGACTCCACTCAAGAACAACGCTCTCTTTGAAGTATTTTTAATGTTTGCTTTATTAATCTTGCGCTGTTGCTTTGCTTATTTTGTAATCAAAGATTTTGTCAAAAGAAGGAGGGGGAGCTTTTTGTCCCTTCCTTCCCCTCATCTTAAACAAATTTTCACATTGCCACTGCTTTTCATCTCTCCTTCTCTTCTCTGTTTCTGATATTTTCAATTTTCTCTTTCTCGCTCATACATGTCCTCTCACAATACCCAAATCACAAATTTTTTATTTTCTAACCTTTTCATTTTGTCAAAAGAAGGAGGGAGAGGGGGAATTTTGCTTTTCAAAATTTTTTTAATGGTTCGCAAAAAACCTGCAAATCATAAAATGATTTTTTCAAACAAAAATGATTTTCAAAAATGATCAAATGATAAAGAAATTTTTCAATGATAAATGATAGAATGATGAAATCCTCATAAATATGAGGATTTTATATATACTACCCTTGGGTAGTCAGGAGAATGGAGTCGAATTGAAGAGATAGAATAGTCTAGAGAAAGTGTTACACAGAGAGGCTGCCATGACGAAGGCACGCTATCTTTGGGCGCGAACGCGGTTTTATTAGCCTCAGAGCGCATGAGCCGCAGGTTTTGCAAGGGTGAAGATGCGCGCGCGTCGCTTTTGCGCCCGCTCAACTAGTACTGCTTCTTCTCCTTCATCGTGCAGCGCCTTAATTATTTTGTCTGAAAATTTTGCGATGTTGCGTCGATTTAGTAATCCTTGATTTTCTTTGTCAAAAGCTCTATGGATCTTCAAATGTGTCTCAGAGTTTTCCTTGTTGAAATTTCCAAAATTCCAAGTCTTTCATCAAATCATACAATCTTCCTTTGTATTTAGCACACAGGGCTTTCGAGGAACCTATGCGGCGTAACCGTCATCGACGACGCAGCGACTGAACTGCAACTGAAGAGGGTAGCAGCAGTTCGGTGAATAGTTAGCTGTTTTTTGAGATAGCATGAAATAGGTTTAGTAATTCATAAAATGGCATAACAGCAACAAAATTTGTTACAATTTGAGAAAACAAAAAAAAGGAAAACACCGAGATAATCGGCTAACAATGAAAGCAGGAAAACAGGTTGCAGCGGGTTTCAGAACAGTGTGGTTGTTTTTCCTTAGAATACGTGCGTGCAGCTACGCGGGTTCGTACTAAAAACTGAATTTTCGAATTTAGCACCCTAGACGCCCTCGGTTGAGCCCTGAGCCGAGTACGAGTTCCGAACCGGCGGCTTCACTCCCTTCATTTGCCGAAGGTGCCGCCGACGAAGAGACAGAACCCAGCCAAGTTGTTGACGAAGAGATGGCAGAACCTAATCACGCCGCTGGTAGTGAAACGGTAGAACTGGGACAAGGTGCCGTTGGGAACGTGGTAGAGCTAGGTAGCATTTTCTTGGAGTAATTCTGCAGAGAAGAAATGTATCTCGGCTTTAAGATCATCAAGACAAGCTCCTTTTTTTGCCTGTCACACTGTGCTGCACGGTACCAGCACCGCGGAGCTGAGACGAATGATGATGTTGATAGAAGTGGCCACAGGAAGGGCAGCAAATATTGTGAGATTCCAGTCAACCAGTTGGTTTAAGAGGGAACTCTATATTTAAGTGTGTGGCGGATGTGACGAGATTCGTGGATAATCTGAAAAGTGACATACGCTTAAGAAATCACGCATTTTGCAGTTCATGCTTTCGAACACTGGTGAATAAACGCGCCTTGTGCGCCAATCTCAGCTGCGACCTATATGGGTGAGCACTCCTGAATCACTATGCGGACGATCACACTTTTCTTCAGAATTCATCCCAAGCGTTCGAAGTCGTTGAGAAGGCCATCATTGTCTTTGCTGGACATTCGGCCACAGATGGAGACCGTACTTGCTACACACTGTCCCTACTGATCAATGTACATCGGCGACTCCATGAAAGTTATGTGCGTAACTTTCTTCTTAATTCTTGAAAAGGCTCATCAATTTAGTTTTATTCTGGGACGCGCTCCGAAGCCACTGATTTCCCCATGTTCAAGAGCAATGTAGAGTCGCCAGACGAGTTCTCCAGACATATAATGAGCCTGCAGTTGACCATAGCCACCGATGGATTTGTACCAGCACGGCTAAGCAGGTCTTTCATCTGGAGACTGGCAGGAATTCCTTTCAACATTTCTAAATTTACTACTTGTTTAGGCAGGAGCTTTGGCCATTATATGTGCGCGTTGATGATCTTCCATCGAAAATAGGAAATAATTATCTCAATATAATCATGGCTGGTGTGCTGTGGACGTCAAAAACACCCCACGAAGAGCTGTGGGAGGGTTTATGGACTCACCTGGCTACAGAGCTGGCTCTGGTGAACTCTGAGCCCCTGCAGATCCTTGACAATGTAACGGGCAACCTGTAGACTATCAGACTAAGACTGACGCATGCAGTCGTGGACTACAAGGTTACTTTAGCCAAAATTATACGCCTGCTTTCCAGAAAAGCCGTTATAGGGACTAAAAGACATATTTGGCATACCTCGCTGGCTGTCCCGTTATGGCTGCCATAAATGTCTTTTTCCGGGAAATTCTGTTGGACGAAAACTGAACTGGTACTGCAGCGAACCCCTACGTTTCACGAAGAGGACTTCAGCAAATATATTAGAGGATGCAGAGCTTGGACGGAATGGTCTCATGAGTAAGTTTTTAGCATGGGTTCACGGCGATCTACAAATTCTTTGATATGTAGGGAAAACTTCTGCGATGGATCTTTTCACGCCTGCGCAATGTTGTGCAGATGCCCTACACGTTATAAGTGAAGGAGTCACTCAGGATCGCCTAAGGGGTCTTCTTCCGCTTCAAGCATTACAGAGCAGCATGATGAATACCGTTGTTTTAAGATTTGCTTTTTCGCTCCTCAAAAGTTGATGAAATGAAGCTTCGACCAGAAATAGTCGGTGAGCTCAATCGAGTCCTGATGAACATCACCAATTACACGTACAGCTCGAGATTCATTCTTTGTAACGAAGATTTACCCTCCATGACGGGAGCTGAGGTTGACGCGGTACTCTTGCCGAAATTTACATGTTTTTCTATGGATATTGAAATTTGAGACAATTTTCAGTTCGCAAATGTGGTGTTTCCGCTCGTAGGAGCACTAGCGCTGTGTCCTTCTGCTCTTAGTAGTGCCTCTATCGTGGGCTATTGGTTTTGCGTGAAAGAGCTACAGGCCGTGGAAGATCTGACTACAGTCAAGATCCGCGTTACACAATCTGTGGCGCTGCACCTGAAACAAATTTGGAGTCGCCTTTCACAAGAAATTTTCACAATCAAAACACATGTAGGTCACGCTCTGTTTATTTTGACTTGGTGCTGCGTTCCGTTCTAGACCAAGAATTTTTAAAATAACCCTATTCTTTCTAGAACTTCTTCGACCATTGTATATTGGATGAGATTGAGCAGCATGGCAGCCCATATTTGTGGTCTGCAGCACCTTTCGAGGCTATTCACCGTGTTCTGCAGATACCCCACAATCAGTATGTGACGAATTCGGGTGCAAGAGTTCTCACCAGGTAGTCATCAGATCAACAAATGACCTACACTGTCTTTGCATTTAGATTCGTGACCATCAAGAAATTAGTGACACTCATGGAAGAGGCTGTAGAAAGGAATCACTCGGAAAATTTTGCTAAACTGCTTCGCGATGTGCGAAACGAAAAGAAAAGGTAGCTAATTATACATTGCAGATTTTATATTCTATGGGTTTACCTTTTGAGATTCCCTCTCCAAGTGCAACTCGGAGCAGGTTATTATGTCCCACAACATTCCGAAGTAAAAGAAGATTCACTATGCGAAGAACATCGAGCAATTTTTCAGCGTCATCATAGGGGTCTTAGCGATGTTAAATTATAGTGAGTTTCTTTTATTGCTCGTTGTTCTAGATAGGCTAACACACTCTTGATTTAGCTCGCGTTTGGTCGTCAGCGGAAAAGTATTATCTTCCAAGGCGTATTGGCGAAGAACCACTGACACAGATGCCTCTAGCTTTTACCTCAGGGTTTCAAGCGGGCATAGTACACTAATTTCTTACGGAAAATTGCTCTTGGTCAGCTATCATACGCTCACACGTAGCTCGTTCGCTCTTATTGAGCATTACTCAACGGTCGACCCTTTTGCAAATTTGATGGAAGTTTTGGGAACCTTGGAAGACTCAGACAGAGCTCGGAGACTTCTTCGCATTGTCTCTTTAAATAATTCCCATTTCCATGAAGTTAGTTTCCTTGGCATCAAATGGATCAACTGCATTGATATCTTAAGACCCGCAGTCTTCATTAATATGCGGAATAGAATGTTTGCTCTCAAATTGTAAGACCCCTGGCCTGCTATTTCCATTATCTCTTACTTCTGTGTTCTCATGAAATGTCGGAATAAAGTAAATTTGTTGATGTTATTATTTACTGTCTCTAGCGGATTTCAAAGCCACCTTTGCTTCTTATTCCATAACGTCGATATCAAAAAGTTTATAGAGTTCTAACATAAAAGCAGTAATAATAGCTATAATAATCGCCTCAAAGATGTAGATCATTACTCTGAAACGATTTGTGTTAGAGCAGGTGAGGCCGTGTAGAAGCATGTCATGTCAAGCTTATCCCATACAAGTTTATCAGCTTATCACAGCCGAGCTTGAATCAAGTTTCATTTTCATTTCAACGTAGACTTCGCTGCTACCTCTACCTGTACGCGCTGGGCTATTGCTGCTATATGACTACATACATTATTGCTGTTATATGACTACATACATTATGTTTAGAGCTCTAGCCATGGCCTACAAAAATGGAATGTCAAAAAATACGCAGGCGAAAAGGCAAATGCAACAGGGATTTCTTCCCTTACATGAAGAGTCAGCGACGCAAATGAATACTATGGCAAATCATCAGACTCAAGTATGGTTTTCTAAATTTATTAGCCTAATTTGTTCTGCCAAGTGGTATTTTCCGAGGATGTCGTTTATAATAATGAAAGCTAGTACAATACAGTCTCGCAAACGTTTGCATCACACCAGTGCTAAGTTTTATGAGAGCAATTTCCTGAGAGACAGAAAGATGTTTGATTAAGTTTTACATTCATGGACGGCCTCTTTAGAGTGCATTCACGGTAGTTAAAAATACTGGGATCAACATGCATGAAAAACAAATCGAAAGATCAAGCAACGAGCTTTCGGAGTCAAGTGAACGTGCGTAGAAATTGAATTCACCTTTTGACCTCAATATCTCCAAAAAGTAGGGTTGAATAATTTAGTGGGCTTGGAACGCGTCTATGAGGTTTTGGAACCTGTTGGATTAGTACATGGCGATACAGCGCAGCTACAAGAAATTCCCGGTTCGCAGTTATACCAGTGAAAACCTTAAACTTACTGGTACCATCTGGTTAAAAATATTAATAGTAAGAGCACACTACAAGATTTATTTCAATATATCCATTCATTGAAAAAAAGTTTTATAAAACAAGTAATTGCAGCATGTTTTGATCCCACATTTCTAATGAAAATTGAAGAAAATATAAAAATAGCTACTCTTAGTATACTTTGCAGATTTATGTTCAATGGTAACAAAAAAGAAAAACAAAATATTAATTATAACAATATCGAAGTTGAATATATCCATAATATACTAGACGAAATCAATCTAAATAAAATTATCAATAATAGTTACGTAAAAAACATTCTCAAAAATAGTAAAATCAATTACAATCCATGCAGACTTGTATATAAATACAAAAATCCAATTTCTATACAAATTTTTAATTACAATTCTATTCTCACTGAACTTGATACGAACAAAATAAATCAAATTCTTACTCAAAAATGTAAGTGTAGAGAATCAGAAATGACACAATATATCGATAACAACCATGGACATATCATTACTGGAAACATAGAAATAATTAAAGATAAACACTTAAAATCCATAATGAACAAAGGTACTAAATACAGAATACCTAACAATACCAGTAAAAAAGAAATAACAGATTGGATCCAGACAACAGTTCAACTCATTATGAATACTTACATCAAAAAATACAAACTTAAACCTGAAGAACTTATAAACATAGAAACTTTTCTTCTAAAAAAATTCAAACTTAGATTCAAACCACTTCTCTATAAAACCAGACTAAAAAACAAACAAGACCCAAACGAACAAAATTACAATTTTGAATGTAGTTGCATAAAAAACCTTAAAAATCAATTTGTAATTTGCCCACTTGATAAAGCAAGTAATAACTTCGGTATTATCTGCAAAAAATTCTACATACAAACAATAATGAAAGAATTAGGGATCACATTTGATAAGAAAAACGAAGTTTCAAATGAAAATTAAACATATAATTTACTAGCTGGCTTACCCGGCTCCGCCGTATCCGGACCAAACTTGGCACACATACACTTCGGGCCCCGGCGGGTGTCACAGTCCACTTTTCGTTATCGATCGACGTCGATTTTACCGATTTTTATCGATTTTTTTGCAGAGTTCACCTACAGGGCTAGGAGTTGGCACAGGGGGGGGGGAAGTGAGCATGGGGATTCCGAATACAATATTAGTTTTCAGAATTATCGATTGCTTTTATTGATTTTATCGATTTTTTGTAAATTTTGACATGCGAGGCTGGGATTTTGCACAGGGGGGTAATCGAGCATGCTGATTACGAACACAATATTAGTTTTCAGGATCGTCCATTACCTTTATCGATTTTATCGATTTTTTTGTAAAGTTTGACCTGCTGGGCTGGGAGTTTGCACAGGGGGGTAATCGAGCATGCTGATCACCCCCCTTGGGGATGATCAGCATGCTCGATTACCCCCCTGTGCCAACTCCCAGCCCCCTAGCTCAAACTTTGCAAAAAAATCGATAAAATCGATAAAAGTAATCGATAATCCTGAAAACCAATATTGTATTCGGAATCCCCATGCTCGATTACCCCCCTGTGCCAACTCCCAGCCCCGTAGCTCAAACTTTGCAAAAAAAATCGATAAAATCGATAAAAGTAATCGATAATCCTGAGAACCAATATTGTATTCGGAATCCCCATGCTCGATTACCCCCCTGTGCCAACTCCCAGCCCCGTAGGTGAACTCAGCAAAAAAATCGATAAAAATCGATAAAATCGATATCGATCGATGACGAAAAGTAGCCTATGACACCCGCCGGGGCCCGAAGTGTATGTGTGCCAAGTTTGGTCCGGATCGGTTCAGAAATGGAATTTTCTATTCGGAACATACGTACAGACATACATACAGACAGACAGACATACATACAAACAGACATTCAGCTTTATATATAAGATATGAAGAAGAAAATACTAATGATATAATAAAAAGACATATTGACTTTTGCAGAAATAACAAGTTACCACTGCAAAATATTAAAAAAATACCATTAATATACTGTGTACCAAAACTCCATAAAAACCCTATTAAATTCAGATTTATCACTGGAGCTACACACAGTAGCATTAAACCTCTTGCCTTGGAACTACAATATATATTTCAACACATAAAAATACATTTTAAAAACTATGTACAAGCGATTAAAAATAAAAAACAAACTTCATATAATTACTGGTCAATAGACAATACTAATATAAGTGATAAATTATCCAATATCAACATAAATAACATGCAATTATACTCAGCTGATTTCACAAATATGTTTACTAGCCTACCACATAACATAATAAAAACCAACCTCAAGGAACTTCTCAAATTATGCTTCAAAAATGCAAACAAAAAATATCTGACATATAATGGCTTTAACAAAATATACTACACCGATAATATAAACACAAAATCTAGCTACAGAAACTACACCATTTCAGACTTATTGTATTACATTGATTATATTCTTGATAACAGTTTCTGTAGATTTAGCACTTACATTTTCAAACAAAAAATAGGGGTACCACAAGGCGGTAATTTTAGTCCATTGTTAGCAGACCTGACACTATCTTGGTATGAATACAAGTATATAGTTAATAAAGTAAATAACAATAAACAACTTTTTTCATTTCGTTATATGGATGATCTATTAATCATACACAACCGCACTGAACCTATAATTCATAATATAATCAAAAACGTATATGATAACAAACTAAGTTTGGAAACTACTCATAGAGATAATTTACATTGTAATTATTTGGACTTACATATTACAATCATTAATAACAGAATCACAACTAAAATGTATAACAAAACTGATAGTTTCCCTTTTCATGTAAAAAGATTTATACACATCACTTCTGGTGTATCCAATCACATCAAAAACGCAATTGTTTACACAGAAACTTTAAGAGTTGCCCGTACTTGCACTTATCTTGACGATTTTGTCAAAAAAATACTACAATTACGAAACTTACTTATTTCCAATGGATACAATGAAAACATGATTTATACAAATATTTTCAAATGCTTACATAAGAATAATTTTATACTATATAAATACGAATTTTACAATTACGATAAAATTAAAAGATTATTACACATTCTACATCAAAATTTACACAATATATAGTTAATTGATGTAAAATATGTCTTTTACCAGCCTTTAATTCAATTAAGCTCTTTCATACCATCCTAATCAATAGCACATATCATTAATCAGTATAGTTATTTCAATACACATCTACTACAGACAACCAATTTAGTAAAGTAGTCTATCAAAATGACTAACATCATAATAAATAAAACCAACTACAAAAACACTAACATGTTTCATTTTATCCTCCAGTCTACCAATATGGTCACTACTATAGTTTATAGTATATGATCAATATATATAATATATCATATATTATTATATATAATGAAAGACGGAGTATAAAAATTGTAAGTTCTTAAACTTCATCTATTTCAACAACATTCAAAAAAATTTTATCTTAAAACTATTTCGAAATACACAGGACTCGTGAACTCTCCTTCCTTACTGATGAGTTCCGGGGAGAGTTCTGAGCTCCTTTACTCCGTCTAAGGACAGGAACGAAACGGAGTTAAATTAGTTCACTGCAAAATTGATTTCCATGTTAAACAAATTACGGCACCACATTTTGTATATAACTATCTCTATTTCTATTTCTATTTCTATTACTATATGTTTTAGAGCGCACTATTTTAAACCAGAATGGTTGGAGAGATGCCCCAGGTTTATTTCGAAACCTCATTTATATGTTATGAAAAGGTGTCACTAAATGCATCATTTGTAGGAGTAGAAGTGACTGAAGCTGGTTCTTTGCCTCATCATTACACGCATACTCTGCCATCCGATGCACTGGGTTTGAGTTTACGCATATAAAGCATAACATTACGATATTTGTTTCAGAAGCAGTGCGCGCGTGTTTACTGCGCGAAGTTGGAACAACAGATTTCGCGTCTTCCCTCTATGCAATCGTAGCCAGGGGAGCATCCTTGTCACAAGTATCACTACAGGTATTCCTGCTTCTTGTCGCGGTAGGCAACGAAAACGTCTCCTTTAGGAAACGCTGCACCAATGTACGCGGCACATTCAGAGGTTTGATATGGAAGACATCTACAAATTAGTGCAAAGTGCCGAAAGGTCCCGTCTTGGGACACTGTATGACGTTATCGAAACTACACGACTGGTAGTAGAGAACGCGCTTAGCACTCGAATCCAGGCGAGTGCAATTTGTAAATAAGATGACCTAAATTATTGTGGCATAACCCAAACGAATAACATGGAGAACAAACACCTTTCGAATCTTACATCTTTTTTGTGACCAATTATTATTGCTGCACTTTCCAGGAGAATTTGCTCTTGGCAAAGATCAAAGAGCTTGAGGGGCAAGTAAACTCCCTCAAGCAGATGTGCAAGCGCAATGGCGCAGCGACTCACGAAACATCGGAAACAATTTTTGCCTACGAAAATCTGAAAGGACATCACGTGATCAAATATGGTTCTCCATTTAAGGTATCTAGAGCCAAGAATTAACTGAGTGACCACAATATACGCTCATCATAGGAAGCAGTCCTGAACGATATTCTAAGGGCATACGCCCCGACAAACAGAGTGAAACACAAAACATGCCTTGTCATCACGGAGTTCCTGCGCACAGTATTCAAACAGGTGTGGTGGTATAAATACATGATTGTTGACATGCCCTTGAAATGCTATAATGCTAAGCTGTTACCAAAGTTCCGCTCGTTTTCATTCCTTTTTTGAATTGTTACTGTTGGAGGAACAACCTTTTTTTCAACATTGCTCATAATATAAATTTCTCTATGTTCATTTTGCATAACTATCTGTCGTCTTTTTTAATCTGTGCAATCGCATGAAGCAAAAAGAACAAGAAAGCAAGATGAAGTATTTTGAACCTAGAAAGTAAAAGTTTCTTAAAGATTTGCGCACCGGATCCATCCGACATTTGGAATTATGCTCATCGGACTTCCAACATATCCCGCAAACAAGATTTGATCGACTTGCCGGAATCTTTGATTATAACACTCACGGGTACAACCGGTTATGTGTGATTTCTTTCAAGAACGAATTTTTAAGACTTTGTGCTGGATGCACTGGATCTAGGCTGGCGAGACCTGCAAGGGCACAGGCTTAATGCTCTGAGAAGTTCTCGTGATAGGTGCGTTAGCGTTCTCAATGAGAGTTTTTCTGATGAATAGCATTTCAGCTGGTGGCTATCGTTAGGCGAAACTGACGACGAACGCGACAAAAAGTTCAACAGCCTCCTTGAGAAAAAGTCGTACTGGAGTACTCAAACTGGACTTTGCATTTCCGAAGCGCTGTAAGCTTTTCTATAGTTTTTACCACTTTCGCCACTGAATCTGGGTTTTGCAGTGAAGACATAAGATACTATCGTCTTGATGAAGGAAAACTGGTTCCGTCAAAGGTGTAGACTTATATAGAATCAGTCCTTTCGAACCACGTATTTAGTTTTTTCTTTCAGAAATTCAAATCAGTGCAGCGCGGATTTGGAAGAGAAGATAAAGCGCAAATGTCAAAACAGGAATGGAGAAGATTGGCACTTTACACTCCGTCCGCAAGCTTCCTGCTGAGCCAACAAAATATTGCGCTCATTTTTCATCTCTACTGGTATTATATCTACCGCCTCATATGATTGTTCTTCTCTTTCTGTTGCACTAAGTTTTATGCCTTCAACACCAAGTTGGTTCCATGATTGCTTGTATTATTTGAGTTACTGTATAATGTTACTGTATCCTGATCTCTGGAGCATAATCGTTGGCAGTTTCTTTCCTATCGCCATCACAAAGTTTTTGCGCGTGTGTGTTCATTGCCAGATGAAGAGGATGATGGTGAATCGCCTGATGTGACTAGCCAGATGTGTGATTGTTGCCAAATGAAAGACATAAATATTATTTCTTTTCCAATTTCATGTGTGTAACCACGTCGATGAGGAAGCTTGCAGAGGAAAGAGCAGAAAATATGCTTACGATAGCATGCAGGCCGAATAAATAATCCTGCGGAAGTTCCCAGCACGAGGGAACTTCCCGAAAGCTTCAATTAGGGAACTTCCCGAAGACGATAGCGGTACTTCCGCAGGTGACCGTCGGGAAATTCCGCTAAGGCCCTCGGGAAGTTCCCGTGAATTGTCTGAGACGGCCGCATTCTCGAAAACGCTTTTACAAACATGACTGGAAGGAATGCGAAGACTCAACAGTGGATCTAGATAAGTTGATTGAAGGAGTAGGCAGCAGTTCTCGTCTGAAGAGGTGCCGTAGGGACCTTCGCGAGCACGAGATACCAATGCAAGCTCTACTGAACAAGGACGGAAGCTTCTACAATGAACTTTCTCGAAACACGACGCCCTTATCAGGCTCTGTTCATACCCGCTGGCGAACAGGGATTTTTTTCAACAAGTACACTCGGACATAGAATGCACGAAACCAGTCACAGCGGATCTGGTCCCAGCGGATTTACCGCCAACTTACTGATAAGGAAAGGGTACTTAATCGAAGTGGCGTTTTCACAGGAAATATAAACTGCCTTATAGAGCATGGAACGCTGATTCCGAATCTGCTTGAGGTATCTGCGAAGCGCTTTTGGGAGGGAAATTATGGAAATTTTTTGATGGCAAGACGCAGCTACAATAAACTTTCAGAACCGCCAGGGCTCGTGCAGTTATGCTTAATAGATTTAGGCTAGTCGGTACTTCATCCAAGCGCTGGAAAGACGCCAACACTCGTTTTTACTTCAATCTAAACTTGAATTTTTGCATCAAAAAGTTGCCATAACTCGCATCCCAAAAGCGCTTTGCAGACAACGAAAGCAGATTCGAAATCAGCGTTCCATGCTCTATAAGACAGTACAAATTCCCTATGAAAACGCCACTTCGACCGAGTATCCTTTCCTTGTGAGGGCAGGCGGACACAAGTTGTGCACTCTACTGGCAACTCATATAATACGTTATCTGGAAAAGGAAAGAATACCCGACCGGTAGAGGTATCCCGCACTCACTTCCTCCACCAAAAAAGTGGAAGAGAAGACCTCAAGAAGAAGAACGATCAACTTGGTAAGCGTGCTTTACAAGCTTTTTAAGAACATCAACATGTTGCGTACTTCGAAGTTGATGGCTAAAGCACAACCAACTAAGCAAGCCAGATTCCTAAAGAATTCAGCTGCGCCGACAACAACCAAACCGTCTCAAGAGTAGTGGAGGTCTGTCGAATACCAGATGCCCCTCCCTTTCCTCACCTTCGTCGGTTACGGAAAGGTCTTCGATAATGTGAAAAATTTACGCCATTTTAACTGCTTTGATCGACCAAGAAGTGCACCAACATGCGTAAGAACCATAGCGGACTGCAACAGGGAATGTAACAACACAAGCTGTAAGCTGCTGATAAGCTGTTTGACCACCTGCTTCACATCCGATCCAGAGAGGAGACCGAACAGCCGACACATTGTCGCCAAAACTCTTCACCGCATTACTGGTGAATGCAGTCCATACCTTCGATGATCTAGAGAAAGGGCGTCAAAAGTGAAGGTTATTCAAGTTCTGCCCCTCATAAGAAGTGAAGAAAAATATAAAATAAATATAAAATCAGAGCAGAAAAAGATGCGAAACATTTAGTAGAAGCAAAGAAACCTTTGAAAATCGGGTAGAAACGCTGAATTATGTTTGAAATCTTTCATTTGGCGGCATTGCAGGTTTCGCTCCAGAACACAGATGCGATAGTGTGAGAATTTTCTCACCCCCTCTTCACCCCTGAGCCGGGACCAAGATGACCCAATTAAAACCAAAAGCCGAGAAGAAAATCAACAGTGAGGTAAGGTTAAGCAAAGGAGATATTTGTACGTGAATTGTTCATGTATAGGAAAGGAGGAGATGTTGAAAAAAGTGCTTGGTGACGGATGTGAGTAGTGATTTCTGGAGATTTTCGAGTTTTGAAATAAAAAATTCAAAACTTTTGTAGATGAACATCTTGTGCACAAAGATAGTCACCATTGGAACCGTCTTGTCCTTCGCTTTCAGAAAATATATATATTGCCTGAAGTCCATTATAGAAAGTGCCGGGTGAAGGGTGGAGGTGAGACTTTTATAATGGGAGTGCTCAAGTACAGGCTTTGTTACCATTGTATTAGGCTGGTGCAAAAGTAATGCGCGTTTTTCTAGCCCTTGTTTCAAGATAGCTTTTCTCCATCGAAGTCTCTCCTATGAAACTTAGCCAGTCAAGAAGCTTCTTTTATGCTCTATTCAATGGTGGTTGAAAGAAGCTTCTAGCCTCATTCGTTAAAAATTTGTAGAGCTTCATACAACCGCACTCAAAACCAGAATTTCACTGCACTTACTTTTTCGGGCAGATTTCAAGCGCGAGTAAAGGCATTCTTTTAAAAATTTGAATACTGTATGTAGTAGAAATTTTCTACGTTGCGCAAGCTTTACTGTTTCCCTAGAAATTACTTAGACTGAGATCTCGGCGCCTCAACATGAGTGATGGTTTTGGCCATTCTGTGGACCATAGATTTTCTTTGAAGAGAGTAATCGCCAAGGTTTTGCTCATTTCTGTAAGCGTAAGGGTGGACTTCCTGTTGACAGTTTTTGCAGAAATGTGGAAGCTGTTCAGTACACAGAAAATCAAAAATCGCCATATTTTGTGATTTTGAGGGCTACAAAAAATGTCGAAAAAACGGATAATTTTGAATATTATTTTTTTTCCTTTTCGCAAATACTCTTTATTTGAGCCCTTTTGTACATTTTTTATACTACTGGCTTGCGGCTACAAGACAGTCAACTTAACATTTATACCGATAAATCCTGAAGGAAGTTATGATCAGTTAAAAACGAGGTTTCCGAAAAAAATTTTTTTTGCTTATCAATCCATATTTTTCCACCGATTTGCGAAGTTAACCTAAAGCAATGTGCGCTGTATAGAGAAAGGTTTGAAGCCTCTGACGAAGTTTGCCGCACTGGAGAATATGGATCTTTTAGAAAGTTATAGCACGTCAAAGTGAGAACTCGCAAAACGCGCATTACTTTTGCACCAACCTAATAAAAAGACTACTACTTGAGCACTCCCGTTATAAGAGTCTCACCCACCCTTCACCCGGCACTTTCTATAATAAACTTCAGGCAAACTATATATTTTCTGAAAGCGGAGAACGAGACGGTTCCAGCGGTGACCATCCTGGCGTACAACATGTACAAAAGTTATGAATTTTTCTATGTTAAAAACTCGAAAATCTCCAGAAATCACTAGGACACCCTTCACCCAGGCACTTTTTTTAACGGACCCCAGTGTATATTTTCTGAAAGCAGAAAACGAGGCGGTTTCAATGGTGACTATCACGGCGTACATGATGTTCATCTTTAAAAGTTACGGAATTTTCTATCCTAAAAACTCGTAAATATATTTAGAAATCACCACAGTCTTTACCAGGCACTTTTTCAACAGACTCCAAGCAAACTATATATTCTCTGAAAGCAGAAGACAAGGTGGTTGAAAACATTTACCTTGCTGACGTTGCTGTTCATCTACAGAATTTGCGAATTTCCTGAAAAAAATTCGTAAGTGCTTAAAAATTGTCTAACTCTTTCCGAAACAAATGTTCTCGCATGCACATCTTCTAGGGTAATTCCGAAAACAGGCAGGGCGATATAAAAAAGGGAAAAGGAAATGTAAAAAATTACAAGATGCTGGTCAGAAATATAATTGTGTGCTAATCCAGCAGCATATCGGTGCACATTTCAGAAAATAGACAAACAGTGATGGTAAGGAATTGAAAATTATGAACTTTATGAACTTTAACTAGGAAAAATGATGGCTCCCCCCCCCGTCGACATTTTAAAATTTCTCTACCAAATAAAACACTCTTCACCCTGGAGGGGCTGCGACTACTGTGACGCTTTTCACCCTGGAAGAGTCATTCTCACCTTATCGCACCTGTGCTCCAGAACCACGTAATCCACAACACGGGTGAAAACGAGGAAAAGCTAGTTTTTCTCTGTGTTCTTTCCAAAAACAACCATGTTACGAAAGTAACGATTATTAGGAGAAGATGAACAAGAAAAGAATTATTTTCGAAAAACGCAGTTTTCTTTTTACCAAGTTGAAATGCGCTTCAAAGCCAACCTAGTTTTTGGTGCGTCCTTTGAATTTTTACCCCGCATTGTGGTTCCCGTTTTCTGGGATGTCGTCTGAATTGCGCTCTTATTATTCTAAGCAATACGCGCCCAAGCTGGAAAAAATAGTTGCGAAAGCACTGAAGCAGAATACAGTAAAGGAAAACGCTCTTTTCATAATTTTTCACAAAAAAAAACCCCACACTAATT